AAAAAAAAAAAAAAAAAAAAAAGATTTTCTTGATTCCACTCAACCATTTTCCCCTCCCCAGCTATCCCTTCCTTTCTTTGTTGTTCTATATAACAAGACTCCTGGCCAGGTGCGGTGGCTCACGCCGGTAATCTCAACACTCGGGGAGGCCGAGCCAAGAGGATTACTTGAGCCCAGGAATTGGAGACCAGCCTAGGCAACATAGAGAGACCTCGTCTCTACAAAAAAAATAAAAAAATTAGCCAGGCATAATGGCTCACGCCTGTAGTCCCAACTAATCAGGAGGCTGAGGCAGAAGGCTCGCCTAAGCCCAGTAAGTCGGAGCGGAAGTGAGCCATGATCCTGCCACTGCACTCCAGCCTGGGTGACAGAGTAAGACCCAACTCAAAAAAACAAACCTCCTTATATGAACTTATATGAGCTGTTTCTGATCCCTTCCTCTCATTTCTTTCCTTTTTTTTTTTTTTAATTTCCCAGCCCCGAGCCGGGCTCGGTGGCTCAGCCTGTAATCCCGCACCTTTGGGAGGCTGAGGTTATTGGATTGCCTGAGCCCGCGGGTTCGAGACCCGCCTGGGCAAGCGAGACCTCATCTCTACAATAAATCAAAAAATCAGCTGGGCGTGGTAGCACATGCCTGTAATTCCTGCTACTCAGAAGGCTGAGGCGGAAGGATCCCCGGAGCCCCGCAGGTTGAGGCTGTGGTGGCCGGGAGCGGCCACTGCACTCCAGTCTGGGCGACAGAGTGAGACTCCAACTCAAAGAAAAAAAGAAGAAGAAAAGAAAAAAATAAATAAATTTCCCAGCCCCTGGAGCCGATAACCCTCATTTCTTCTTAAACCCTCTACACTCCGGCTTCCGCCCTTGAGCAAAAGGGAGCCTGCTCAGAGTCACCCATGACTTCCACTTGGTCAATGCATGGCCTCTGTTCCAGTCCTCTTTTCACTAAGCTACCAGCATCACTTTTCACACTTCCTTACTACCTTCCCAAAACACTTTCCCAGCTTGGCTTCTAGAACTCCAGTTTCCTCCTACTCAGTCTTCTCTGCTGGTTCCCCCTCCTCTCTCATTTTAATTTTGGAGCAGCCCTAGGCGTTGTTGGAGGAACAGTCAAGAGGCCATTGTGGAATGGAAGCTCAGTCCTCAGACGTCTCTTCACCACTCACACCCACTCGCTTGGTGTCACATATTATCTCATAGTTTTACATCTTATCTGTATATAATTGTGCCAAGGGCCTATCTCCAGTCCAAACCTCCACTCTGAACTTCAGACCATTTGACAGCTCTGCTTGGATATCTAATGGGCAACTCAAACATGGGATGTCCAAGACCAAACACCTAAACTTACCCCCGCAACCTACTCCTCTTGTGATCCTCCCATCTTTCCAGTTGCTTGAGCCAGAAACCTTGGGGTTATGCCCGAATACGCTCTCTCACGCCCAACATCCAACTCCTCGGCGATTCTTTTTGCCTTCTACCTTGGAGATATAACCAGTGACCAACCACATCCTACCACCCTAGTCCAGGCCACCAGCATCTCCTCCCTGCATGACCACAACAGCCCCTGCTTTTCCGGCCTCTGCACTCGCCCCTGTCGTCTGTTCACAACAGAGTAGTTAGAGCGAAGCTGCTAACGCAAGCGTCAGCTCCCGAGGCTACTCTTTCGAAAACACTCCAATGGCTCCCGTTTCCCTGCAAGTAAAAGCCAAAGGTCCTCTCTGTAAGTGGAGTGGCCTGATTCGCCCACGAGGGCCCTGTGGTCCCGGCATAAGCATTGATGACGTCTCCTTTTGCTCGGGACGTCTTGCCGGATCCAGACTCCCCGCCCCCATTCCTCTCCTCCCACCTCCCGCTCATACCCCTCCTTGGCCCCTAAGCTGCTCCTGAGACGTCTCCGAACGTTCTGGGCTTACGGGGCTCGCGCTTCCTGGAGTCTTCTGGACCCAGACGTTAACTTCT